CGAAAGAGGGAGAAAGGGAGATAAAACGAAAGAGGGAGAAAGGGGAAAATGGGAGAAAGAGCGAAAGGGGGAGAAATAGAAGAGCGAATAGGGAAAGAGGGAGAAAGGAGTGGGAGAAGGTAAGGTAGATAGAGAGAAAAGGATGAAAAAGGTGAAAGAAGGAGTTGGAGAAGGGGGAGGAAAGGAGAAAGAGGGAGAAAGAGTGAAAGAAGGAAAAGGAGAAGGGAAGGGAGAAAGAGTGAAAGAAGGAGAAAGAGGGAAATAAAGAGGAGAGGGAAGGAAACAAGGAACGGGAGAAAGAAAGAAAGAAAGAGCAGAAAAGGAGTGGGAGGAGACAGAGAGAGAGAGAGGGAGAATGGGAGAAAGTCGAAGGAGACGGGAAGGAAGGAGAGAGTAAGAGGGAGAAAGAGAAAGAGAGAAAACGGAGGTGGAGGGAGAGTAAGTAAGAAGAGTAAGAGTGAGAGAAGAGGGAAGAGAGATAATGGAAATGGAGATAGAGCAAAATGGAGAAAGGAAATAAGATAAGTAGTGAGAGAAAGGGGGGGGGGGGAGGAGACAGAGAGTGTCAACGTGAAAAACAGACAAGAGAGAGAAAGAAAGGGAAGAATGAGGGAAAAATAAGAAGAATGTGCGAAAAATAGAAAAAGAAAAGCAAAAGAAAAAGAGAAGGGATAGAAGAGGAAAAAAACGAAAAACAAGAAACAAAATTAAAAACTAAAATGGAGTTAATAACGTTGAATACAATTAAATCAAAGTCAAGGGGACATTTAAACCATCAAAACCATTCTAAACATGATGATGATGATGATGATAATAATAATAATAACAATAATAATAATAATAATAATAATAATAATAATAATAATAATAATAATAATAATAATAATAATATTAATAATAATAATGGTAATAATAATAATTATTATTATTACTATTATTATTATCATTATTATTATCATTATTATTATTATTATTATTATTATTATCATTATTATTATAAAAATAATAATAATAATAATAATAATAATAGTAATAATAGTAATAGTAATAATAATAATAATAATAATAATAATAATAATAATAATAATAATAATAATAATAATAATAATAATAATAATGATAATGATAATGATAATAGTAATATTGATAATAATAAAAAAGTTAATAACAATAATAATTATTATTATTGTTGTTATGATAAATAATAGAAAAATAAAATGATAAATAATAAAATAATAATAATAATAATAATAATAATAATAATAATAATAATAATAATAATAATAATGATAATAATAATAATAATAATAATAATAATAATAATAATAATGATAATAGTAATAATAGTAATAATAGCAACAACAAATAATAGTAATGATGATGATGATGATAATGATATCAACAACAACAGTAATAATAAGAATTATGAAAGCAGATAAAAAATAATACAATGATAAAAATAATGATAATGATAAGAGGAACAGACTGACAACCAAGAAAAAGGGGAGATAGAACGAAGGAAAAGATAGATAGATTATAAAGTGAGATATTTCTCCCTAATCAGTAATCTCATTATAAAGTTCTGAAGACATATTGACGCCCCGGTGCAGAAAGGGGGGGAGGGTATGGGCTTGGGGGGGGGGGGGGATGGAGAGGTGGGGGGAGTGGAGAGGCAGGATGAGGGGGGGGGGAGGGTGTCAAGAATCGGGCCAGGCACTTAATTGACTGAATGACTGGCACTTTTAACTGCTTTCGAGGAACCCTTTCTCGCTCTCTCTCTCTCTTTCTTTTCTTCCTCTCTCTCCCTCTTCTTCTTCTCTCTCTTCTCTTCTTCTTTTCTCTCTCTTTCTTCTTTTCTATCTCTCTCTATCCTCCCCCCCCCCTCTCTTCTCTCTCTTTCTTTCTCTCTCTCTGTCTCTGTCTCTCTCTCTCTCTCTCTCTCTCTCTCTCTCTTACTCTCTCTCTCTCTCACTCTCTCTCTCTCTTTCTTTCTCTCTCTCTCTCTATCTCATCTTCTCCTTCCCCCTCGTATTCTCATCTCCCAAACGTCATTTCCATCTCTAATCCCCATTACTGAATATGAGACAGCAATTTCAGCTAATCATTTCCCGAGATACAAAACAAAAATCAAGCACATGAATTTTGGGTTCGTCATCCAAAGATCTTGGAAGAGGAAAGGTCAGAGGAAAGGTCAGAGGAAAGGTCACAGGGAGTAAGGAGAGGTCAAGATGAGAGTACTTACAGAAGGTCATCACCACCGCGACGACGGCTGAGAGTTCGGTCAAGCGCCGCCACTCGGCTATCAGACCAATAATAATAATAATAATAATAATAATAATAATAATAATAATAATAATAATAATAATAATAATAATAATAATAATAATAATAATAATAATAATAATAATAATAATAATAATAATAATAATAATAATAATAATAATAATAATAATAATAATAATAATAATAATAATAATAATAATAATAATAATAATAATAATAATAATAATAATAATAATAATAATAATAATAATAATAATAATAATAATAATAATAATAATAATAATAATAATAATAATAATAATAATAATAATAATAATAATAATAATAATAATAATAATAATAATAATAATAATAATAATAATAATAATAATAATAATAATAATAATAATAATAATAATAATAATAATAATAATAATAATAATAATAATAATAATAATAATAATAATAATAATAATAATAATAATAATAATAATAATAATAATAATAATAATAATAATAATAATAATAATAATAATAATAATAATAATAATAATAATAATAATAATAATAATAATAATAATAATAATAATAATAATAATAATAATAATAATAATAATAATAATAATAATAATAATAATAATAATAATAATAATAATAATAATAATAATAATAATAATAATAATAATAATAATAATAATAATAATAATAATAATAATAATAATAATAATAATAATAATAATAATAATAATAATAATAATAATAATAATAATAATAATAATAATAATAATAATAATAATAATAATAATAATAATAATAATAATAATAATAATAATAATAATAATAATAATAATAATAATAATAATAATAATAATAATAATAATAATAATAATAATAATAATAATAATAATAATAATAATAATAATAATAATAATAATAATAATAATAATAATAATAATAATAATAATAATAATAATAATAATAATAATAATAATAATAATAATAATAATAATAATAATAATAATAATAATAATAATAATAATAATAATAATAATAATAATAATAATAATAATAATAATAATAATAATAATAATAATAATAATAATAATAATAATAATAATAATAATAATAATAATAATAATAATAATAATAATAATAATAATAATAATAATAATAATAATAATAATAATAATAATAATAATAATAATAATAATAATAATAATAATAATAATAATAATAATAATAATAATAATAATAATAATAATAATAATAATAATAATAATAATAATAATAATAATAATAATAATAATAATAATAATAATAATAATAATAATAATAATAATAATAATAATAATAATAATAATAATAATAATAATAATAATAATAATAATAATAATAATAATAATAATAATAATAATAATAATAATAATAATAATAATAATAATAATAATAATAATAATAATAATAATAATAATAATAATAATAATAATAATAATAATAATAATAATAATAATAATAATAATAATAATAATAATAATAATAATAATAATAATAATAATAATAATAATAATAATAATAATAATAATAATAATAATAATAATAATAATAATAATAATAATAATAATAATAATAATAATAATAATAATAATAATAATAATAATAATAATAATAATAATAATAATAATAATAATAATAATAATAATAATAATAATAATAATAATAATAATAATAATAATAATAATAATAATAATAATAATAATAATAATAATAATAATAATAATAATAATAATAATAATAATAATAATAATAATAATAATAATAATAATAATAATAATAATAATAATAATAATAATAATAATAATAATAATAATAATAATAATAATAATAATAATAATCAGCTCGCCATACTCCGTCAGCAGTTTACTCTGAATGTGCTCCATTGTCCCCAGCTGCGGAGGAAGAAGCAGGGGAGATAAGGTGGTGGACGGCGGTGATTAATCTTTAATTATGCCTCACGAGGTAATTGGACTTCGGCAGTGAGATGTTTTGATATGGTAATGAGAGTAGGTTCTTTTTGCAAGAAAGGAGGAGGAGAAAGGAAGAGAAAGCAGACAAGACTATATAAAAAAGAAGAAGAGAGATAAATGAGAGGAAATGGGTTTACGAACTTTTTATATTCTTCATCCAAAGAGAATGTTGTGACAGTAATACACCCGTAATGGTGCCTGGGATGAGCGTCGGCTTTTCCTCAACTCACCTGTCGATGGATGTTCTCTGCAAAGGCGTCGAGGCGGATGAGCCTGAGGGCGGTGTTCAGGGGTTCCAGCTGTTCCTCCAGGGCCTCAGTCACCGCCTGCTGCAGGGTCGCCATGGTGACCTTCACTCGACTCTGGCCTCCTGTGCAAGAGGGAACAAAACAATGGTTAATTTATCGTACATTTGATATTACTCTTTATGCTATTCATCTATACATATTTTGTAACATTAAGGGATTCATAGTACATTTTTTTTTGTGTGTGTGTGAAATGAAAAGATGATTATGTAAAGACTGTGTGAGGTTATGATGATTTGTTTGGGACTAACACTACACCTAATGAAGAATATGTATTCACTGTCGTTTCATGGCTCCCTTGTTTTGTCATCAGAATTAACCAAAAGTTACTGGTGGATTGCGATGAAACTTTGTAAGTGGACTGCACAAGGACCAGGGATTCGGATGTAGTCAATGATTTGGAATCTGCCAACGGATCTCGGATGAAATCAATGGATTTATCATAAGATGTCATGGATAATGGATCTGCTTCGAAATTACCTTTTTTTGTGAGAGTTTGTTATAGATTTAGTGGATTGTCTTTATGGTTATTAGATAGATAGATAGATAGATGGAAAGATATACAGATAGATAGATTGATAGATAGATAGATAGATAGATAGATAGATAGATAGATAGATAGATAGATAGATAGATAGATAGATAGATAGATAGATAGATAGATAGATAGATAGATAGATAGATAGATAGATAGATAGATAGATAGATAGATAGATAGATAGATAGATAGATAGATAGATAGATAGATAGATAGATAGATAGATAGATAGATAGATAGATAGATAGATAGATAGATAGATAGATAGATAGATAGATAGATAGATAGATAGATAGATAGATAGATAGATAGATAGATAGATAGATAGATAGATAGATAGATAGATAGATAGATAGATAGATAGATAGATAGATAGATAGATAGATAGATAGATAGATAGATAGATAGATAGATAGATAGATAGATAGATAGATAGATAGATAGATAGATAGATAGATAGATAGATAGATAGATAGATAGATAGATAGATAGATAGATAGATAGATAGATAGATAGATAGATATATATATAATAATTATATAAGGGTGGATTTTATAACGAAAATCAGTATAGGAATACACAAATAATTGGCAACAGGTAAGAAAATAATGGAATTAGGAATAGAAAGCGTAACGTAAGAAATATGAAAAAATTAAAAACGGAATACAGAAAATATGTGAGGAGAAAGTAAAGAAAACCGAAATATGTTATAGAAATAAAATATAAAAACATGAAATATTTAAATTGCAACAGCAAACGGCAGACACCGCATAACAAAACAAACGGCAACGGGATATAATGTAAAATGCAAATTTTCCTGTCCCTCAAAAATTGCACGTTCGGGACTGCTGAACATCACAGACACTGATAAAATAATGTTTGAAATGCAAATGGCTGTAATGATGCCCACTCATTTGCCGGAACTAAAGCAAAAAAAAAGGAGGGAGAAAAGCCATATTCCATGATAAAGGTATTTAATTTACATGCATACATATGTGTACACACACACACACACACACACACACACTCACACATACTCACACACACACACACACACACACATACACACACACACACACACACACACTCACACACACACATACACACACACACACACACACACACACACACACACACACACACACACACACACACATATATATATATATATATATATATATATATATATATATATATATACATATACATATATATGTGTGTGTGTGTGTGTGTGTGTAAGGAATGTCTAAATGGAACTCTGAGATTTCTCTTCCAGAACTGTAACAAAGGCTGGCATTCACATTCCTAACAAGTCATAGAGAAAAGAGAGACTGCAAGTTGCAAGAGGAACCTAGTCAGGAGCATGTAGCTGCAACGCAGTCTGATCTAATCCTGACCATTGTGAATGTTCAAGCAGACGAGCTCTCCTGTGGGCTTCGCAAACCAGCGGCGCTCAGCACACGGCCCCGCGAGGACCAGCTGCCCGTTAAGGGAGAGGCGGGCCGGGTTCTTCTGTGTTCAGCTGGAGGGAAAATGTGGAAAATAATTTCGTCTTTTTGGTCTCCACACTATCGTTTTTTTTCGCTTGTTCTCTTTTTTTTATTTCTTTTTTAGCTCCTTCTCTCGTCTCTCTTTTTCTTTTCATTCACCGATTATTTTTACAAGTCCAGAGTTGCGAGCGTGGATTTCCTGAGTCCAGATACGCATGGGAAACCAATTTCTAAAATACTCTCTTCACTTGAGTTCGAATCAAGTACTTCAACGAGGGAGCTAAATCTGACGTCGGCTTGATTAACTGTTTTCTTTTTTTATCTAATAAATGATACTCCTTAGTGATAGACCTTCATCCTTTTGAGGAGGCAAGATGACGTCGAGAATATTGTACTGCGATCGTTTCTCATGGACGCGGAGTGATAAGTATCGCCATTTTCCAATTTTCCAAGTTGTGTGTCTACGATTCGCAGCGAAGGATCTGCCAAGCGCCGGAATGATTGGCTACGTGTTCGAAAGCTCCTTACCAAAATAGGATTCGTGTCCAATCAAAATCACGGTGGTAAATGGCTGCTCGGCGAAAGACGGGATGCGAGACGGGTCGATCGCGCGGCCATGAGAGGGATGGGGGCGGGGTGAGGTGATGGGATGGGTTGGGGGGAGGGGATCATGGCTTCGATGTCGGATCCGCGAGCTAAGGGCGCGCCGCCGCTCGATTTGTCTTGGTTTTCATGAAGCGGCTGATGGCTGCCTTCACAGGCCTCTGGAAATCACTTCGCGGGGAGTTTTAGCACACTCGCTCACTCTGGCATGCAGACAACCTGGTTGTAGGCACACGCACACACACACACACAATATATATATATATATATATATATAT